TTATATGTCCGCCTGGATGGCACAATGTCCATTAAGAAGCGAGCCAAGGTTGTAGAACGCTTCAATAGTCCATCGGTAAATGCACATCACCTGTCCCCACACCACCAGTGTAGTATCATCAGAATTAAGGATTGATAGAGAAGCTATAAGGGGTTACCTTGATTCTGCACACACCCCACCGCCCCCCAGTGGATATAGTAGGGTTTGGCTGGTTGGTGATGGGTTGGGCTGGAAACTCACTTTGTGGGTTCAGAAATTGGCTGATGAGCAAACAAACTGGTGGTTTTCACAATTGGTACTGAGTAGTATAGAGGCATAGAGAGGAGCTGGTTGGGCTGAGCAGGATCCCAGTTTAGGCTGTAAGAGGTTCCTTTTCTCCTGTTTCCTCTCTTTCCAGAGCCCTGACTTTGTCTTCATGCTGAGCAGCAAAGCTGGGGGCTGTGGCCTCAATCTCATTGGGGCTAACCGGCTGGTCATGTTTGACCCTGACTGGAACCCAGCCAATGATGAACAAGCCATGGCCCGGGTCTGGCGAGACGGTCAAAAGAAGACTTGCTATATCTACCGCCTACTGTCTGTAAGGATAGTGATAGTAGTCATAGTAGGGGTGGGTCATGGAACAAGACCTTCAGGACCATTTTGTTTCTTAGTGCCTCTCTTTGGCCATTCTGCCTCTTGCAGAAAGGGCCCAGAAGTGAGTATTTTATTCTTCTGTTCTCCCTCCCCTTCTCTGCACCCCATTCCCTCAAACCATTCTTACTGTGCCATCTGGACACGTGTTCAGTACATCCTTTTCACAGCATACCTGCTTCCGTCATACCTGATTTCTGCTGTGTCACTGGCCTTGTAGTCTTCTCTCATCCCCTGTCCTATTTGCATTCTCCAAGTTATCAGTTATCTACTTCAGACCATCCATCCCACAGTTCCTCTCTTGCAGCTTATGTCGTTTGACTTGACTACCCTCTTTTCTTCCTTGCTGTAATCCTCTATCCTCTGCTATATTCCTAATTCATTGATGACTCAGCCTTCCTAATTCACCAGCTCAGCCTTCATTCCTTTCTCAAATCCAGCAATCATACTGGCTGATGTCAAGGACCACGTGGTTATCCAGCACCCTGACCTCATCTCAACTCCCCTGCATCTAATTATTCCTAAGGTCACACTGTGGAACTTGTTAGTACCCAAAACTTTAATAAACTCATTGTACTCTGACTTCTTGTCCTCCTAGCTTTCACATACCTGCTGTATCTGCTTCAGCCTAATGTTCCTGCAGTCTCTCCCCTTCCCACTCTCCCATTCATCTGGCTTGACTTCCTTGTTTATTTAGCCCAGCCCTTACTGCGCATCCTTTCAGCTACTCTTTTCCCAATACCTGTTCCAGTTGGATTATTTGAGCTGTTTTCAGCTACTACACCAGCTACATTGCTTTTACAGGTTGGTACTACCACAAAGTCATGTTGTCTTTTTTGAGGTGGGCCATATTTCATTTCCTTCAACCATTTCAACATCTACCATTTCTCTCAAATTTCCTACCTAACTCATCTTCTTTCTGTTCATTTGTCAGACTTCTTATACCACTGACCCTACCTTCAAATATACTACTGACTTCCTAATTGCCAAAACAGGAGACTATTGACGCTTCCTCTTTGTGTATCTCACACTGTTGACTAATAATCCCTTAAAATGCTCTTCTATACCGGGTGCGGGAGGATCACTTGAAGCTGGGAGTTTGAGGCTGTAGTGAGTTAGGATTGTGCTACTCTAGCCTGGGTGACAGAACAGGATCCTGTCTCAAAAAAAAAAAAAAATTTTTTTTTTCTCGTCTTTGGAAACCCTACTCCGATTCTTCCACCTCTCTGATTGTACACACTTGTCATACTGGCGAATCTCTAACTATAAAATTTTAACCCAGATCTCTTACCTGAGCTCTAAACGTCTGTTTCTATCACTTAATCTACATTTTCACTTAGATTTCTAATGGGCACATTAGAAGTATCATGACTAAACTCATTCCCCTTCTGATTGATTGAGACAGTTTCATTCTGTTACCTAAGCTGGAGTACAGAGGCATGATCACAGCTCACTGCAGCTTCAAGCTCCCACCTCAGCCCCCGAGTAGCTGGGGCTACAGATGTGTGCCACCATACCTGGATAATTTTTTTCTTTATTTTTTGTAGAGATGGAGTTCTGTTATGTTGCCTAGGCTGGTCTTGAACATCTGGACTCAAGCGATCCTCCCACTTTGGTTTTCTCAAGTGCTGGGATTAAAGCCATAAGCCACCACACCTGGCTTCCCTTCTGAATGCTGACCTTAATGGCTCCACTATCCACCCAACCTAAAACTGGGAATAATCTTACTGGACTATTCTTTTCTCCTAACAACCAAATTCCCACCAGTTTTCACTGATTTTTATCTTCTTGAAATTTCCTTAATCTAACTCTGCTTTTCATGCCCTCCTGGGGTCATGGTCATCTGTCACTTGGATATTGCAGCAGCTTCCTAGTTGTTTACTTCTGTCTTATCCCAACCTGTCATTCACATACTGCTTCCAGGGGAGCTTTCCAAAAATTTTGATTTTACTTTTCATCTCACTTCGAAGACAAGACCAAGGCCTTCAGCATGACATCCAATGTTTTTTAATGTGACCTCTGCTGATTTCTCAGTCTCAGCTCTTACTATATTCCCAACTTCCAGTTAGTCTGAACTCACAGTCCTCCAATAGGCCAGTAGCATTCCTTCGTTCGTGTGCTGGGGATGCCTTCCCTTATGTCTTTTCTTACAAACCATCTATTCATTTTCAACATTGAGCTCAAGGATAGAGTTTCAAGTTTTCAAGACTGTTCTACTCTGCCATCCTTATGGGCTCCTAGTTATCCTGTACAGATTTCTATCATTGTATCAACTGTTTATATGTATCTTTCTCACTATTCTGGGAGCTCAAGGATAGGGGATATATATGATTCTTCTTTGTATCCTAATGTCAGCATAGGGTCTGGCATAGAAGATACCCAGATGGTATTTATTGAATGAGTTAGAGTTGGGTTTGGTACGGAAATCTGAAGCTGCAGCAGACAAACCTCAGTTTACCATGAAGGGATTTAGCCAGGCCCTGGGACCCTTCATTAATACAGAAAATAGCGTGGGTGGGCAGACTGTTCATAAGTCATGTTCTCAGAAGACAGACTGGGAAAATGGGCCTCAGCTGAGTAGAGATAATGTTCCAGGACTCATACTTTTTATTCATCTCTCCTCCTCTTGGGTAGCTGTAGTTTCAACCCCCTGGTTTTTCCATATACTTTTTATGGGGATGGCTAAGCGCTATATCCCTCGATATTCTCCACCCCCTCTTCCCCAGGCAGGGACCATTGAGGAGAAGATCTTCCAGCGTCAGAGCCACAAGAAGGCACTGAGCAGCTGTGTGGTGGATGAGGAGCAGGATGTAGAGCGCCACTTCTCTCTGGGCGAGTTGAAGGAGCTATTTATATTGGATGAAGCTAGCCTCAGTGACACACATGACAGGTGGGGAACCATTATTAAGCTACCCACACAGCAGTGAGATGGGATGTGTAATGACTTCTGCTGTGTCTTTTGCCCCTCCCTAGGTTGCACTGCCGACGCTGTGTCAACAGCCGCCAGATTCGGCCACCCCCTGATGGTTCTGACTGCACTTCAGACCTGGCTCAGTGGAACCACTGCACTGATAAGCGGGGGCTCCAGGATGAGGTACTCCAGGCTGCCTGGGATGCTGCCTCCACTGCCGTCACCTTCGTCTTCCACCAGCGTTCTCATGAGGAGCAGCGAGGGCTCCGCTGATAACCAGCTGGTCTGGGTGTACCTCTTAGAGGAAGGAGATAGGGAAAAGGGGCGCCCCAAAGGGCCCTGTTGAATTTTTGTTCTCTGGGAGAAAATCATCAAGAAGGGCTGCATGATGTTTGCCCAAAATTTATTTTATAAGAAAAACTTTTTTGGTTAAAAAAAAGAATAAAGGTATGAAAGGGTTTGAGGCCTGAGAGCAGTGTGATAAGCCCAGCAGGGAAGAGGCCCCTTACACTTCTCTAAAGCCTGGGTGCCTGCTTGAGGAGGGAAAGCAGGAACCCAGGGTCAGGGGAAAGGATCTCTTCAGCAATGATGACCACTGTAACCTTCTGGCCCAGGGTTCCCAGGATACTGAGTAAGGGGCCCAAAGGCTCTAAACTCAGCTGTGAGAATGCCTCTTGGCTGGGCCTCATCAAGGCCTCCAGGACCTCAGTGCAAGGGAAGATGGAAAAAAAGAGAAAAAAGGTGACAGAAAGAGAAATACAGAACTGGTGCTTGGGTTCTGGGCAGCCCATGCTTCAGCCCCTGCAAGCTGATGGTACCGAGCATGAGCCTGTGAGGTACGGGCCCCGTCACATGGTGCTAACATAATCTGCGAAGGCCTGGGATGAGTCCCATGAGTCGCTAACCACATGGCAGGTAGCCCTGAGCCGCCGGATGGCTTCCCTGGCTGTGACTGCATCCTGGTCCAGCCAGTTCTGGAAGAGGCGCAGGTGACCAAAGGCTCCACGGCCCCAGCGCTCCAGCCGCTTGGCGAACTCCAGAAGCCCATCAGGCTTGATGCAGTTGGAACTGGTAGGGTGAGATGGATTAGAAATCCAGGAAGCAGCAAATTCCTGGTCTGTATCTCTGTAGCCCCATCCCTTGTCTTGCCCCTCCCCTCATGTACCTGATGTCCAGCTGACAGAGAGAGGAGGATGAATCCTCTGAGAAAACATCTGCCAGGGCCAGCAGGCCAGCATTCCCTGGAGAGAAGGGGAGAAGTGCCTGTCACCTCCACCCAAGAACAGGGAACAAGAGTATCCCAACCCAACTTTGACTGGGGAGGAGCCCAGCCCTGCTGGTTCCTGAAGCTCCAGCACAGAAATAACTATTCCAACTCCCCCGTTCCCAGTGGGGAGGTCTTTGCCTTTATCCACTGAGTTTTTAGGTCAAAGGCCTGGCCCCTTTCCCCTCTCCCTCCCCAGGGTCTGGCCCCCACCCAGGCGGTTCCCTGGCAGCCGGAGGCCCTTCAGTGTGGAGTTGCCCTTCATAGCAGCAACCATCTCAGGCAGAAATTGGGCTGGGCGCTTCTCAAACAGACGGCAGAAGGAGAAGGTAATCTCTGTCAAGAAAAATTATAGTAAATTCTGATGGCTGCATTAGGACTGGTGCTGCCCCTCCTGCCCCAATTGGCCCTAGCAAGGGGTATGAACATTATAGAGTCCCAAAAAGAGAAAGGAATTTGTCTAGGACTCAAGCAAGGCTGGAACTAAATCAGAATCCAAACCAAAGACTGAACCTAAATATTCACTATAAGGAGGTTCTCTGCATGAACAATTCTCCATTTATTTCCTTCCTTCCTGGTCACTGACCACCCTCTATGCAGGGGTGGGAATCAGAGAAAAGTCTGTGTGAGAGCCTGGCCTAGTACATTATTTTGACCCCCTCACCACCATTTTGTCTACCTCTGAAAGGTGAAACTTGGATGAGGTACTCTGAAAGAGCAATTTCTCATGTTTAGTAGAGGAGTTGACGTTGGGGTTTTTAGAAGGAGTCATGCAGTTTCTATATCTATTTTATAGTTGAGGACACAAGCCAAGAAAGGAACAGTGGTTTGCTCATTCAGATGATGGCAGAACCACAGTAAAGACCCAGGAAATATCTGGGTTCTGAATGAAGAACTTACCTTGCAGAGTCAGATTCTGTAGCAAAAAGAGCACCTCACTCTGACAGTCAGCCAGGTTCATGTCATGGAAGCTCAGTCTTTTCAGGGCTAGGTTGTACTCTGGATAAGGAGGCAGAGACCATGGACCATGGACTTTAGTTTTCCCAGAGAATAATGCTAGATCCCCACCTACTCCTCTCCCTTCACCATTCTGGCTGGGTCCTACCTTTGAGTGTTTGCAAAACAAGCCCAAAATCCTGGGGAGAAGCAAAGGTGGCACTATCCAGGGACAGCTGCTGCAGAGAACCCGAGGCCTTCAGTACGGAGCAGAGCAGTGGGGCTGGCTGGGCTCCCCGTGGAAATCCCATCTCCAACTGCTCCAGGCAGTTTTCTGGATATGGTGGGGAAAGAAGATTCCAGCTAGCCATTTCTACCTGACTTCCATAGCAGGTCCCATCCTATTCTTAAGGGATTCACCTCAAAAATTATTCATTTGTCCTTGAGTGCCTACCGTATGTCAGGCATTGTGCTAGATTCTGGGAATTCAGCACTAAATAATGAGATTTAGCCCTTGCCCTTGAACTTTTAAACCAGGAAGACAGGCTACTCAGACACAAGCAAAGTATGCAGAGTGGTGGGAGAGGAGACAGAAGAACTAAGGGAACACAGCAGGGGAACTAATCTAGTCTAAAGGTGAGTTCTTTACCTTTTCTGGAAACCAGGCTGTCTTGGTCACTCTGTACTGATCTTATGGTGGTCTAGGCCCTCCCTGTCTAGCTCAACAGTATCTTAGTGGCAGGCTCTAAAGGGGGAACAGTTTCCAGATAAGCCAGGAATGCATGGTAGAGGAGGTCCTTCCCCTTTCCCCATACAAATGCACCTGCACCTTTGTGTAGGGATACATATGCGCATGCATACACACACGTACACACAGTGCTTCACCTGGTATCTCCTCATCCCCTATTATGTGGCTAGGGGGCCCTGCATTCCCCGGCACACCAGGATTGTCCCGCTGGCTTGGGTGGTCAACACGAATAGATAGGACCCGTAGCAGGGGCAGTGCTCGCACAATGGCACGTGTCAGCTCCAGGATGGGCAGTGGGGAGAACAGGTCACTGAGATGCAGGGCACGGAGGCGACATCCAGCCTGGCCTGACAGGGCCCGCAGGCTGTCTAGCAGGCGGAAGATGTTAGAGCCCAGGCCTATGGCAGTAAAGAGATTAAATCAGAACCATGTGGGAGTGTCAGCAGGAGTTAATGTATTCAAATACAACTCTAAATACTTTTGGTTACTATCAAATCTCTTGGGCTTTGGCTCAGCTTATTTAAACCCATTTGTCTTAACTACTCGTCTATGCCTTGCTTTTTTCTTAGGTAACCAGCAAACTGATGTCTGCTGTTTTGGGCTATGCCCACAAGAAGCATCAGTCGGGACAGTCACAAAATTTAGAAGATAACAGTATGGTGAGGCACCATGTGGCTACCAGCTGAATGACAGGCCCAGACAGTAGAAGGTCTCTGGATTTCTGGGTTCTGAGTAGTTTTCTGAAGAAACTGGCCTTGAAGGAAGTAAGTTTTGGATAGAGGGAGAAGACATAGTCAAGAGTCACAGTGAGCTGGGAGTGGGGGCTCACGCCTGTAATCTCAGCACTTTGGCAGGCCAAGGTGGGCAGATCACTCGAGGCCAGGAGTTTGAGACCAGCCTGGCCAATATGGTGAAACCCTGTCTCTAATAAAAATACAAACATTAGCTGGGCATGGTGGTGTGCGCCTGTAATCCCAGCTACTAAGGCAGTACCCAGGAAGGGGAGGTTGCACTGAGCTGAGATCTCATCATCACACTCCAGCCTGGGTGACAGAATAAGACTCCATGTCAAAGACAACTATAGAGGTCACCAGGAGTGAGAACATGAATGACCCATAAGTAAAATTAAGCAGTATTGTGAGAGAAAGCCATTGAAAGGTGTTTGCATGAATGAATGACAGGGTGAGACTGCATTTTTGAAAGAATGCGTGGGCTGCAGTGCAGACAGTGGATTGTATGGCAAGAGTAAGGAGTGTGGAGGAACTGCTGAAATGAGTTCAGGTAGGGAGTAATAGCTTGAATTAAGGATGTGGAGATAGAGAAATAAATGGATTTAACAAATTGTAAAGATAGGGCTGTGTGTAGTGGCTTACGACTATTATCTCAGCACTGTAGGAGGCGGAGGTGGGCAGGCCACTTGAGGCCAGAAGTTGGAGATGAGCCTGGCCTACATGGGGAAACCCTGTCCCCCCTAAAAATACAAAACTAGCGTCGTGTGGTAGTGCATGCTTGTACTTCTAGGTGGTTGAACGGCTGAGGCATGAGAATTGCTTGAACCCAGAAGGTAGAGGTTGCAGTGAGCTGAGATTGCACCACTGGACTCCAGCCTGGGTGACAGCAACGCTTTGTCTCAAGAAAACATAAAGATAGGACCTCATGAGTAAATGTATGTAGTAATACAGAATACAGGTTTCTTTGGGCAAGTGAGTAAGCTGATGTCACTGAGAACAGAAGGATTAGTATAGTGTGAAGGTGCATTCAAGTTGGATATAATCGGCGGGGCTTGTGGGTTATGAAGTGGTTATGTCTATTAGCTGGATAAATTAGTCTGGAAGTTCAAGAGAAAGATCTGGGGTAATGTCACATTAGTCTTTAGCATAGTTGACCTTTGAAACCACAGAAATTGATGAAATTGTTCAGGAAGAGTGCATAAAGTGCGAAAGCTCTGAGGAACTCTGAACAAGCAGAGAAAGGAGAAAACTTTTTTTTTTTGAGATGGAGTCTCACTCTGTTGCCCAGGCGAGAGTGCAGTGCCACAATCTCGGTTCACTGTAAACTCCACCTTCTGGGTTCAAGCAATTCTCTGCTTTAGCCCCCCAAGTAGCTGGGATTACAGGTACTCACCACCACGCCTGGCTAATTTTTGTATTTTTAGCAAAGACAGTGTTTTACCATCTTGGCCAGGCTGGTCTTGAACTCCTGACCTCGTGATCCAACTGCCTTGGCCAAGTGCTGGGATTACAGTTATGAGCCACTGTGCTCAGCCAAGAAAATATTTTTTAAGGTTGTGAAAAAAAAATTTCATAGCAGTAAATGCTGCCAAGAAGAGTTACTGAAAAGTATACACTGGACTGAGTAACGAGGAGGACCAGGCTGGAAGGGGCTGTGAGAGAAGTGGAAACAGTACAGATGACTAAGATTGTAAAGAATAGGAGATAATAGAGCAGTTTGTTAATATGCCATATAGGGAGGTGGTGGTGGCAGTTTTTGGTGGAGACCTGTTAAAATGCTGGTAGGAGAGTGGAAAGGAGAGGGTAGTATAAACAGTGGTTTGAAAGCATGGATCTGCAGTCTGGTTGCCTGGTTTGAATCCTGGCTGTGTAATTGCGAGGTTACCCTGAGGAAATCACTTGCCCTCATAGGGTTGTAAGGATTAAATTATTAGATTGAATTATCAAGAATACTAAAAATATGCCAGACATATACTAAGTAGTATATAAAAAGTATCAGTTTGAGAAGCAAGCTTCCCTAAGAAATTGGGATGCTTCTTTCTCAAACTAATAATTCTTATATACTTCATTGTGAAGCTCTATGCATCTAGAGCACAGGTGGGAGAATTAGCCTTAGAAAGGATGGTGATCTCTTCCATTCTGGTGAAGGATGAGTGCAGTTGAAGGAGAGTTTATAGGCTGCTTAGCAAGCTGAAGAAACTCATGTGATGGCTTCTATTTTCTCTGTGAAGTAGGTGAGGTCATCCCTGAGAAGGGAAAAGGAGGAAGGGTTTGGAAGTGGTAGGAATAGGAGCTGATGTTACAAGCACAGTGAGGGTTCATATGAGGTTAATGATCATGAATGTATAGTAACACTAATTTGCATAGTTGTATGATTTTTCTCTAGCAGTACTCAGCAACCTAGGCAGATTGCTGGATTTAGCCAGAGTTGAGGTTTTCCTAGCTGGGCACAAGCAGGAGGGAAATGGGGACTGAGGATTGCTTGCAGGTTGTTGGTCTGATAAAAAATTGTGTCCTGGTCAGGCACGGTGCCTCACGCCTATAATCCCAGCACTTTGAGAGACCGAGGTGGGTGGATCACAAAGTCAAGAGATCAAGACCATCCTGGTCAACATGGTGAAACCCCGTCTCTACTAAAAATACAAAAAAATTAGCTGGGCATGGTGGTGTGTGCCTATAGTCCCAGCTACTTGGGAAGCTGAGGCAGGTGAATCACTTGAACCCAGGAGGCGGAGGTGGCAGTGAGCCAAGATTGTGCCATCGCACTCCAGCCTGGGTAACAAGAGCGAAACTCCGTCTCAAAAAAAAAAAAAAAAATTGTGTCCCACACCCAGTCTGGACAGTTGCTCTGATATGACTGGTGAGGTGGTGAGGTCAAACTCTAGCCCTGCCTGGGCATGCATGTACTATACTTCTCCCACCTGCCCTTGGATTGCCTTCTGTATCTAAACTGTATTCATTCTTTAGATTCCAGCTGGCTCATCTCTGCCCCCTCAGGAACCCCTGCTCTCAACAATTAATCAAGCCTATAGACTATGTTCCTCTCTTATAGCACTGACAGTCTCCCCTTCTGTGAGGCATACAAGTCTTCCTCTCCAGCTTCCTGATCATACACCCAATTTGTTCCTCCCATCTCCCCAGAATTAGGCACACAGCTAGTGCTGCTGAGGAATCCAAACCCAATCCCCGCCACTCCAGGATGCTCACCATTGTAGGAGAGTGTAAGGCTCTCCAGTGACACCCAGGAGCTCAGCAGGTGGCATAGTGTCAGGGCTGCCTCTGTGGAGAGTGGAACCGTGAATAGCTCCAAGGTGGAGATGCTGCGGAATCGTTGTGAAGCTTCCAGGGCTGGAAGCCCCAGGCAGCTGGGATCTGATCCATCCAGAGCTCCACAAGCCACTTCCCCAATCTCCATCTCTTCGCCATCCTCCTTTTCACCAGCCACAATAAAAACAAAGTCATACAGGTCTTCAGACTCTGTACCAGGCCCCTGACGGGTGCGAGCACCCTTCTTCCCTGCAGCTCGTTTGAAACGCTTTAGGGGCTTAGGCTGTGGGACTGAGCTAGCTGGTGCCCGTTTGCATGAGGATGTAGAAGAAGAGGCAGAGGAGGTGGCTGCTGGAGCAGAGGGTGGTCGCTTGGTGCCAGGAGCCTCATAGGAGGTGGCTGGCGGGTGCAGCTCCCTCTTAAGGTCTGTCCCGCCTGCTGTCAGGCTCTCCTGTGCACTCCGGCGTGTTACCCGAGTGGCAGGTGCAACTCTGGGCATCTGCTTGGCTTCACTCTTACGCCGGCTGGCCATCAGGGCTGCAGCACATCGCTCAGCAGCATCCCGGCGAGGCCGGCGTGAGCCCAATAAGAGGGACCCTTCATCTCGGGATGGGGCCCGGCCTCGAGATGCCTCTCCACAGAGGCGGCAGGGTGGGCCACCAGGCCCTGGTTGCCAGAAGCCAGCACTCATGGTCAGAATAAGGATGAAAAGGGCTGACTCAGGCACAGGCCAGGAGTAAAGTGACACTTGGCTGACAGCCCCATGGTGAATGAGCTGATGCAACAGCTGCCGAAGTGACTGCTGTGCAGCCACATCAGAGAACAGCAGGTGGCGGAACTTGAGAGTGTGCAGGGAGCTGGCCAGTGTCTCCAGAACTCTTCGGTTGGGCTCAGCCACCAGCTCGGTTGCACCCTGCAGCATGTTACAGATGGTGAGCTGTCGGACATGGCGGGAGCTGTGCAGAAGAGGTGAGAAGCGCTGATCACAAAGACGCCTGTCAGAAGACACATCAATGGTCCCACGTAGAACATGGGAAAAAAAGGCCTCCATAAACTTAGCTCGCCAACAGGTCACACTCTGAAAAGCAGAAAACATGCCAGATACCAGTGATATATCAATGAAACGGTCTGAATTTCCTTTGAATAGCAAATTACTGAGTCAGGCAACACTCCAGACAAATTCATTTAATCTTCACATCTCTGAGGTATGTATTATTAGCCCTATTTCACAGGTAAAACCGAGGTGCAAAGAGGTGATCACCCGTGGTCACACAGGTAAATAGTTGGATCATTTGAACCCAGGAAATCTGGTTCCAGAAACCATGATTTTACTATAGTATCAACTGAAACACTCACCCCTGTAAGTTCTTCTGTTTGTTTCTAGAACCTTATCCCAATTTTGTTTTTTTTTTTTTAAGACAGAGTCTCACTTTATAGCCAAGGCTGGAGTGCAGTGGTGTGATCTCGGCTCACTGCAACCTCTGCCTCCCAGGTTCAAGTGATTCTCCTGCCTCATCCTCTGGAAAAGCTAGGATTACAGGCACCTGCCACCACACCCAGCTAATTTTTGTAATTTGTGTTTAGTAGAGGTGGGTTTCACCACATTGGCCAGGCTGGTCTCGAATTCCAGACCTCAAATGATCTACCTGCCTCGGCCTCCCAAAGTGCTGGGATTACAGGTGTGAGCCACTGTGCCTGGCCCCCCATACCAACTTTTGATTCTTACTTCCACCAGCCCCCCTATCACCTCACACCTGATTACTCTTCCTGTTCCCTTTTCCCTATTCCAGACTACTTTGTGCAGGCTGGCTGGATTCATCTTTGTAAAACACTACTTTGATTACATCATACTGCTTTAAAACACCTGATGTCTCCCTACTGGCCTTCCACCCCATAGCCTCTGCCTGAGAAGCTTTATTTCCCACATCTTGCTTATGAGAATGCTTTGCTCTAGCCAAACTCGTCACCCACGGACCCAAACATGCCTATGTCCTTTCCTGTATCTACCAGAAATGTCTCCATTGCTGGACTAGATTTCCTGAAAGGACTTAGAAACATGTCATTTGAGACTCTCTTGTTGGGACTCCTGTGACACTCTGACTACTCAAGACTAAGATGCCAGAACACTGTCTCAAGGTGTTGAGTCTCTCTGCCTGTACATATTATCCTAGCCAGACTAGAAATTCTTAGAAAGCATGAACCATATCTTGATACGTTTCTTCCAAGGCAACAGTTATTTGTTTTGATGGATAGGAAATCTCATCAGACTATTCTGCACTTGATCTTAGCCAAAAGGCCGAGAAGCGATTCATCAGACTATGCTGATGTGTTTAATATAACTCTGAACGCAAGTGATTTTCAGCCTTTAGTGCACATCAGAATTCTCTGTGGTGCTTTTTTCCCCACACAACCAAACTTGGTGATTCTGTGTTACATCTGAGGGTAAGGTCCAGGCATCTCTATTGTTTGAACCATCACCACGTGATTCTGATGTACATCAGAGATTAGGAATTAACTGCTACCTAATCTAAAAGGGCACAATGGGACAAAGACAGGTACCAGACCCCAAAGTTTCTAATTTAAGATGATCCCTAAGTCATCTTAGGGGCAGTAGAAAGTCAGGTCCCAGCTCTGTCACTATACTCTGGACTTCTCTGAACCTCTTATCTGCAAATTGTGGATAATCTGCTTCACAGGATTGTTAAGATCAAAATGAAATAGTACAGATTAAAGCACTTTGTAAACTGTAAAATATAAAAAATGTTACTGCTGCTGCCACTGCTAATATTAGCCTGGATGAGGTGTGAAATGAAGGCAGAGCCTGTTAAGCATGGTGTTCATTCAGCCTAAAGCCAAGTCTGTGGGGCCTGAGGTTCCCCAAGACTAAAACATTTCTTTGGTCCATGCCCTGCCTCAATGTATTCCTCCATACTGGAGTGACCCTCAGTTCCTACTGAGGTTCTTAGAAGGAACTAGGCCCCTGCTCTCCTCAAGCAAGTGTCATTCCTGTTTCCTTAGCTATTTCCCCAAACTCTGCCTGCTGTGGTAACAATTAGGAATGACTTCTTCCTGCTTTAAATAACTGCAGAGCAGCAACACAGAAAGGCCTCACTAATCAGCAGCAGGACATTAAGGGTAGGAAAAACAGTATCTGGCAACCAAATCTCTGCTCAGCTTTGAGTGAAGGCAAAGAAGGTATCCTTTGGTTCTACCTTACACTAGCACTTTTCCTACGGATTTGCTGGCCCACACCCAGTCTTGAAAAACACTTGCTGGTAACCTTAGCAAGGCTTCAACTTTACAAGTGAGCTAGCCAAATGGTTATAATATCTGGGCTTAAAATAGACAAAGATGGTGAGCCAGGATATTGTGGCTGTTTCTGGGTATAGGAAGCATAGGGGAAATGTAGGTTAAATAAGTAAATGCTGGACTTTTTCAGATATGTTAATGGCTGATGAAGACAATGGGAGAGAGAATATTTAGAACACCCCAGACGCAACTGCAGTGAGCAGCATGAGACCGTAATCAGAAGCATGCATTCCAGAAGCAGGCTGCTTCAACTTGAATTTGGGTCTGCAATTCACTAACTTAGGCAAGTCTTTCTGCCTTAGTTTCATCATCTATAAAGTGGAAGATTACTAACATAGCATTTTCGTGAGTTAAATGAGTATGTAAAGTTGTGACAGCTCTCAGTGGTTTCTTTCTCACAAATTAACGTATCAGCAAGCAGAAGATCATGTTTTATTCCATCACCACTCTTAAGAAGAATCTATGCTAACATTTGAAGCTGACAGATGTTTGAGATCTAGTCTAAATCACTAATTTTATGGACGTGTATGCTATCACAATGCAAAGTGATTTAGTACTTCATTTTCTGTTAGGGTAAGGGAAATGAGGCATGATCAAGTGACATCTGCCCACCAACACAATCCTTGGCCCATCGTCAGTTGGCTGGTAGGGGAAGAGGAATGTGTACACCAGGTAGGGAAGGTTAAACATCTTGTACTAACTTGTTAGAGCCAACAATATTCAAAACCTATATGATGTCCATTGTTTTCCTGATGCCAGAAATGCTGTGTGTGGATAGAGAAGCAAATGAAAAATCATGGGCCAGGCACGGTGACTCATGCATGTAATCCCAGCACTTGGGGAGGCCAAGGTGGGCAGTTTGCTTGAGTCCATGAGTATGAGACCAACCTGGACAACATGGCAAAACCCCATCTCTACTAACAATAGAAAAAATTAGCTGGGCAATTTTTAGTGGTGCACACCTGTAATCCAGCTACTTGGGAGGCTGAGGTGGGAGGACTGCCTGAGCCTGGAAGGTCGAGGCTGAAGTTAGCCAAGATTGTGCCCATTGTACTTCCAGCCTGGGCAACTGGAGTGAGACCATCTCAAAAAAAAGTGTAAGCCAACTCTGGAGTATTTATGTATATGTGAGTAGCTATATATATATATAAAACAACACTGAGATAATTCTAAACAGTTTCAAGTGCTGGACTTTTAAAACATACCATGTATTCAAATATTTTTAGAATTTTTATTTTGAAAATGTGTACCATATTTAATAATTGCTGTATTGAATATTTCCATTGTTTCTAGCTTTTATTATTATTATTTTTGGAGACAGAGTTTCTCTGTCGCCCTGGCCTGGGCTGTAGTGCAGTGATGTGATATCAGCTTGCTGCAACCTCTGCCTCCCAGGTTCAAGCAATTCTCATACCTTAGCATCCCAAGTAGCTGGGATTACAGGCACACACCCAATGCCTGGCTAATTTTTTTTGTATTTTTTAGTAGAGATGGGGTTTGCCATGTTGGTGAGTCTAGTCTCAAACTCCTGAGCTCAGCTGATCTGCGCACTTTGGCCTCCCAAAGTGCTGGGATTACAGTCATGAGCTACCACACCTGACCTGTTTCTAGGTTTTCATGTTTGGGTTTTTTTGTTTTTTCTTGAGACATTCTTGCTTTGTTGCCCAGACTAGAGTACAGTGGCATGATCTCGGCTCACTGCAACTGCCACCTTCCAGGTTCAAGCTATTCTCCTGCCTCAGCCTCCCGAGTAGCTGGGATTACAGACATGCACCACCATACCCAGCTAAATTTTGTACAGGGTTGGTAGAGACGGGGTTTCGCCATGTTGGCCAGGCTGGTCTTGAACTCCTGACCTCAGGTGATCCACCTGCCTTGGCCTCCCAAAGTGCTAGGATTACAGGTGTGAGCCACTACGCCTGACCCCGTTTTTAGCTTTTTGATATTAAACTCTTCTGTAATAAACATCTGGAAATAAATCTTCATGAGTATCTCCATTTTTATATACTATAAATTCTAAGATGTAGAATTTCTAGACAAATTATTATTTTTTATTTTTGAGGCGGAGTTTTGCTCGTTACCCAGGCTGAAGTGCAATGGTGTGATCACTGCAACCTCTGCCTCCTGGGTTCAGGCAGTTCTCCTGCCTCAGCCTCCTGAGTAGCTGGGATTACAGGCACACACGACAAATTATTTTTTTAAGAGACAGGGTCTTGCCCCATCACTCAGGGCTGCAGTGCAGTGGTGAGATCATAGCTCACTGCACCCTTGAACTCCTGGGCTCATGCAATCCTCTTGCCTCAGCCTAGCAAGTAGCAGGGACTATAGACGCCACTACACACAGCTAATTTTTAATTTTTTTCTGTAGAGATGAGGTCTCACTATATTACCCCAGCTGAACTTTTCTTTTTTTTTGAGATGGAGTCTTGCTCTGGCGCCCAGGCTGGAGTGCAATGACACAGTCTTGGCTCACTACAACCTCTGCCTGCAAGGCTCAAGTGATTCTCCTGCCTTAGCCTCTTGAGTAGCTGGGAATACAGGCATGTGCCTCCATGCCCAGTAATTTTTGTATTTCAGTAGAGACAGCATTTCAGTATATTGGCCAGGCTTGTCTCAAACTCATGTACTGAGGTGATCCACCTATCTCTGCCTTCCAAAGTGCTGGGATTACAGGTGTGAGCCACTGTACCTGGTCACTCAAGCGGTCCTCCTGCCTGGGCCTCCCAAAGTGCTGGGATTATAGGTGTGAACCACTGTGCCCAGATTTTTTTGCAGGTAAAGGGTCTCTGTCACCCAGGCTGGAGTGCAGTGGCACTATCATAGCTTACTGCAGCCTCAACCTCCTGGGCTCAACTGATCCTCCCACCTCAGCTTCCCAATTAGCTGGGAGGTGCATGCCAACATGTCCAGCTAATTTCTAAAAATGGTTGCAGGCCGGGCACAGTGGCTCACACTTGTAATCCCAGCACTTTGGGAGGCTAAGGTGGATAGATCACTTGAAGTCAGGAGTTTGAGACCAGCCTGGCCAATGTGGTGAAACCCCGTCTCTACTAAAAATACAAAAAGTAGCCAGGCCTGGTGGTGGGCGCCTATAATCTCAGCTACTTGGGAGGCTGAGGCAGGAGAATCACTTGAACCCATGGGCAGAGGTTGTAGTGAGCAAGGATTTTTGCCATTGCAATCTTAGCTGCACATGTTGGCAGACTGGTCTCGAATTCATGGGTTCAAGAGATCCTCAAAGTCTGGAATTACAGGTAACAGCCACCATACCCAGCTAGCCTATTTATTTATTTATTTATTTATTTTGCCAATCAGTTTGAACTTATAAGGTTGCTCAGGTTAGCCTTGAACTCATGACCTCGCCTTCGCAAGCGCCACGACCTCCAGCAGGAGCCACTTTGGACCCCTAGCCTGGATATTTTTAAATCTGAACAAATATTACCAGATTGCCTATAAGAAAGTTATAACAAGGCCGGGCGTGGTGGCTCATGCCTGTAATCCCAGCACTTTGGGAGGCTGAGGCGGGTGAATCACGAGGTCAAGAGATCGAGACCATCCTGGTCAACATGGTGAAACCCCGTCTCTACTAAAAATTCAAAAAACTAGCTGGGCACGGTGGTGCGTGCCTGTAATCCCAGCTACTCAGGAGGCTGAGGCAGGAGAATTGCCTGAACCCAGGAGGTGGAGGTTGTGGTGAGCTGAGATCATGCCATTGCACTCCAGCCTGGGTAACAAGAGCGAAGAGCGAAACTCCGTCTCAAAAAAAAGGAAAGAAGGTTATAACAATTTCTGTTCTCACCAATAGGATATTAAAATGCAAATTTTACCCATCCATGGCCAAACCTAGGCATTACCTTTGCAATAAAAATCAAATCAAAACAAGACTTTACTAATATAAGAGGTGAAATTTTACTTTCTCAGTTTTATCATGAGACTTAACATTTTTCACTTTACTGGGGATTTTTGTATATTTCATGATGTGCCCAAATCCTTACTCATTTTATTTTACTGGGATATTTGTCTTTTTCTTATTTTGTGTCCCTTTGTTTTGCAACTATTGTTGCAAATGTTCTTTCCCAGTGTATTTAGAGTCTCACTCTGTTGCCCAGGCTGGAGTGCCATTGTGCGATCTCGGCTCACTACAACTTCCATTTCCTGGGGTTTAAGCAATTCTCTGCCTCAGCCTCCTGAGTAGCTGGGATTTCAGCCACCCGCCACCATGCCCAACTAATTTTTGTATTTTTAGTAGATACGGGGTTTCACCATGTTGGCCAGGTGGATCTTGAACTCCTGACTTCATGATCTGCCCGCCTTGGTCTCCCAATATGCTGGGATTAGAGGCATGAGCCATCTTACCCAGCCGTATTTACCTTTTAAAATTTGGTTATGGTGTTGGCATTTTAATTTTTTCTAATTTAATTAATACAAAGTCCTGAAGATAGTGTTAGCATTTTATGTGGTTAAAAATGTCTGTATTTTCTTTCTCAGTTCTTTAATAATTAGTACTCTTGACTGGGCACAATGGCTAATGCCTATAATCCCAGCATTTTGGGAGGTTGAGGTGGGCTGAACACTAGGTCAAGAGATCAGACCATCCTGGCCAACATGGTGAAACCCTGTCTCTACTAAAAATACAAAAATTAGCTGGGCGTGGTGGTGCACACCTGTAGTCCTAGATACTTGGGAGGCTGAGGCAGGAGAATTGCTTGGACCCAGGAGGTAGAGGTTGCAGTGAACCAAGATCGTGTCACTGCACTCCAGCCTGGCAACAGAGAGACTCTACTCTGTCTCAAAAAAAAAAAAATAATAATAATAATAATTAGCACTCTCTCCATCCTGAGATTAGGATGGTCGCTTTTATTATTTTTTGTTTTGTGCTCTTTTTCTTGAGACAGGGTTATGACACTGGAATGCAGTCATCATTGCTCACTGTAGCTTTGACCCCTGACTCTCAGTTGATCCTCCTGCCTCAGCCTCCTGAATAGCTAGGATTATAGGCACATGTCAGCACACCCACCTAACCTTTGTATTTTTTTGTAGAGACAAGGTTTTGCCATGTTGCCCAGGCTGTTCTTGAACTCCTGGACTCAAGCAATCTGCCTGCCTTGGCCTCCCAGTTTTGCTGGGATTACATGCATGAGCTATCACACCTGGCCTGTTATGTGCTTTCACTTTTTTTGTTTATTGGTTTAATTATTATTATTTTTGGAGACAGAGTCTTACTCTGTCACTCAGGCTGGAGTGCTGGAGCGATCTAGGCTCACTGCAACCTCTGACTCCCGGGTTCAAGTGATTCTTGTGCCTCAGCTTCCTGAGGAGCTTAGATTATAGGCTTGCATCACCACACCTAAGTTTTTTATTTTTATTTTGTATTTTTATGTTTTTGAGTTGGAATCTTGCTATGTTGCCCAGGCTGTAGTGCAGTGGTGCAGTTTTGGCTCACTGCAACCTCTGCCTCCAGGGTTCAAGCAGTTCTCCTCCCTCAGGCTTCCAAGTAGTGATCCTAGAGTAGCTAAGATAACAGGCATGTACCACCACACCTGATTTTCAGTAGAGATGGGGTTTCAACATGTTGGCCAAGCTGGTCTCAACTCCTAATCTCAAGTAATCTGCCCACCTCAGCCTCCCAAAGTACTGGGATTAGAGGTATGAACAACTGTGCCTGGCCTAAGGGGTTTCACCATGTTAGCCAGGCTGGTCTCAACTCCTGACCTCAAGTGATCTGCCCACCTCAGCCTCCCAAAGTGCTGGGATTATGGGTGTGAGCCACCACACCTGGCCTGTTTTATTTATTTAAAAAAAACTTTTTTTTCTGTACTCTGGTGTTGAAACTGATTTTTTTTTTTTTTTGGGGTGGACAAGATCTGGCTCTCTTGCCCAGGCTGGAGTGCAATGGCATGATCTCGGCTCATTGCAACCTCTGCCTCCTGGGCTCCCTCCCACCTCAGCCTCCTGAGTACTGAGACTACAGGTGCATACCACCACACAAGGATAATTTTTCTATTTTTTATAGAGACGGGGTTTTCTCCATGTTGCCCAGGTTGGCCTCAAACTCATGAGCTAAAGCAATCCACTCACCTTGGCCTCCCAAAGTGCTGAGATTACAGGTGTGAGCCACTGCGCCCAGCCTTTTCTTTCTTTTTATTTTTTTAAAGATGGGGGTTTCACCAGGTTGGTCAGGCTGGTCTTGAACTCCCGACCTCAGGTGATCCACCCGCCTTAGCCTCCAAAGTGCTTAGATTACGGCCGTGAGCCACCACGCTCAGGCTTCTTTCTTTCTTTTTTTTTTAAGAGACATGGTTTCATGCTGTCACCCAGGCTGGAGTGTAGTGGTGTGATCATAGCTCACTGCAGCCTCCAACTCCTAGGCTCCAGCTCTTCCTCCCACTTCAGCCTCTGGAGTAGCTGGGATTATAAATGAGAGCCATTGTACCCAACTTTTCTGCCTTTACTTTTTACAACTAATTCTTTATATAGAAGTCATTAGAGTACACTGTAAAGTGAGGCTCTAACTTAACTTTTTCCAAGTGGCTAACCAGTTGGCAGAGAATCATTTATTGAGTAAATCTTAATTACTCCATTGCTTTCTCTCCAGAGTATCTATTCTATTATACAGATCTCTTTTTTTGTTAGCTTTTTGAGACAGGGTCTCTCTCCTGTCACCCAGGCTAGAGTCTAGTGGTGTGATCTTGGCTTACTGAAGCCTTGGCTTTCCAGGCTCAGGTGATCCTCCTACCTTAGCCTCCCGAGTATCTGGGAGTACAGGCATGTGCCACCATGACCAGTCAATTCTTTCTATTTTTAGTAGAGACAAGGTCTTGCTGTGTTGCCTGGGCTGGTCTTGAACTCCTGGGTTCAAGTGATCCACCTGCCTTACCCTCCCTAAGTGCTAACATTACAGTTGTGAACCACCATGCCTGTCCTTACAGATCTCTTATACACCCTAGTACTACACAGTTTGAAATACTATTGCTTTATAAGCATTCAGAGTCTGTATCTATCTTCCTCACCATTGTATCCCTGGAACCTAGCATAATGCCCGGAATGGAGCAGGCACTGAATAAGTGTTTCTGACTTATGAGGTAAAGGTTATTGTCATGCTAAAGTGGGAAGCGGAAGACACCCTCTGGAATGGATGCACTCCAAGTCAGGACCTCTGCCTAAGTGACTGTTGGACCACCAAGCCTGGGGCCTCTAAATGTGCTCTAAGCCAAGAAGACAGGGTAATAAACATTCTTTTCCAGAAAGCTTTCTCAAAGAGAAAAATATCTTTATCACCTGCTGGTCAACTATACTGCTTGTTAAATACTGGAACAAAGTGAATCTGATGTTTCCTTTAGATGACAAAAAATAGTTATTATTTTCTAATATTCTTGAGTCCACTTCCCCTCCTCATAAGGCCCGGTGTCCTCATTCTGAACTCCAAGGGTTGCAGCCTGGATTTGGAAGTAAAAAAGCTGAAGGAGATGGGGCTGAATGTTACTGAACCCAATGCATCCCCAGAAATTAAATCTCCAATTCCTGGTATCAGCTTTTTGCCCCCATTATTTGGCCTCATTCACCACATAAAGCCGAGTTCAAATATTTCCTAGGAAAGACTTTCTTGTTCTCTTCTCTCGCAAACTCTTTACTATCCTCTATTACACCACTTATTCTATCATATGTGATCTATTTATAGATTTCCCTATTAAAGTGGTAGGTCCTTGCTGGGTGTGGTGGCTCACGCATGTAATTGCAGCACTTAGGAGGCTGAGGCAGGAGGATCACCTGAGGTCGGGAGTTGGAGACCAGCCTGACCAACATGAAGAAACTCTGTCTCTACTAAAAATACAAAAAAATTAGCCAGGCATGGTATTGCATGCCTGTAATTCCAGTTACTCGGGAGGCTGAGGCAGGAGAATCACTTGAACCAGGGAGTTGGAGGTTGCAGTGAGCCAAGATCACATCCAGCCTTGTTGCACTCCAGCCTGTGCAACAAGAGAGAAACTCCATCTCAAAATAAATAAATAAATAGGCCGGGCGCGGTGGCTCACACCTATAATCCAAGCACTTTGGGAGGCCAAGGCGGGTGGATCACAAGGTCAAGAGATCGAGACCATCCTGGTCAACAAGGTGAAACCCCATCTCTACTAAAAATACAAAAATTAGCTGGGCATGGTGGTGCATGCCTGTAGTCCCAGCTACTCAGGGGGCTGAGGCAGGAGAATTGCTTGAACCCAGGAGGCGGAAGTTACGGTGAGCCAAGATTGTGCCATTGCACTCCAGTCTGGGTAACAACAGCAAAACACCGTCTCAAAAAATAAAAAAATAAAAATAAATAAATAAATAAACTGGTAGGTCCTCAAGATTAGGGGCTGCATCTGTACTTCCAATATCTAGTGTAAGATCTGGTAGCTGGTTAAGTTTCAGTAAATGTTTACTGAACTAAATCTGCAAAAGAAACTGCTTAAATAAGAGCTCCAGTGATTTATATCTCAATCAGTGAATAGTAGAATCTCAGGGCAAAAAGGAGCCCTAAAATCTTGTGCAATCCCTTTTACAATGCTGAATTCCCTGCAAAACACCCTTGTGTCAAGGAGTTATTCAGACTCCATCTGAACTTAGTGATGGGAAGTTTATTACCTCTAGAATTAGCTTGCTTCATCACTGATAAGCTCAGGGTTTAAGCTTTACCTTCAGTTTAGCAAAAATGTACCTTCCATTAGCTTCCATCCAGAACAAGTCTATTAATCTTCTTTCATGTGACAGCCATATATTTCAAGATGGGTCATGTTTCCCAAGTCTTCTCTTTCAGGAAAAACATCTTCAGTCTTCCAAATGTGACTCACATAATGTGGCTTTGACTTCTTTCCCTGTACTCCAGGGGTAGCCTGACTACTGCAGAGCTAGGCAGGACTGCTGCCCCCTTGTCCTTTAGCCTATATTTACATTAGTTCACACAGCTCAAGATAGAGTCATTATTAGTGGCTTCAGCACATAGTTGACTAAACTCAATCTTTTTTATACAAGCTCTTACTAAGCAGACTTCTTTATCCCTCATCCTGAGGCCATGCAATTGGAACTTTTATAACTCACTTAAGTACTGATATATTCTATTAAATTTCATTTTGTTAGATCTGACCATTGCACTAACACCATCAAGAACTCTAGGAATCTGGGCTCTGCCATTCAAAACTAACTTCCCTGTTTTGTGTCCCCTGCAAATATGGTAAGCAAGCAATTCAGTGACAAATGCCAAATGGACCAAAACCTTGTGACAAGCCATCAGAGCCCTCCTTCCAAATCCACTCCATCATTGCCTCTGTACTTTACCAAACCCAGCTAGTGTTTGTGTGCTATTCCTGCTTTTACCATGTAAAATCAGGCTACTGTTCTACCTGATAACTTACTTCCAAACTGGAAGGCCTTGTCTTCATCAGCTCATCCCAGAGTCGGCGCCAGATGGCCTGAGTGGAGAGGCCTGTAGGGAGAAATATCACACTTGGCTGCTTGCTGGCTACCATGAGTAAAGTACATCAACCTTTCATGTTGTCCTCTGGGTTCACAGGAGCAATATGGCAAGAGTGATTAAGAGCACTGGCTCTAAAGACAGATTGCCTGAGTGTGAATATCAGCAAACTACAGTCTAGCTATGTGACTTTGGGCAAGTTACTTAATTTGTCTGTGGTTCAGGTTCCTCATCCGTAAAATGTAGTTAATAACAGTTACTTTATAGAGTTGTTGAAAGGATTACAGTAAATGAGTTTCTCTGGATAAAGTGCCTAGGACAGTGCCTGGCATATTAGGGTTAAATATTAGCTGTTAACAGATGTGTCTAATGAGGGGAGGAAGCTTGGTAAAATAGAAAAACAGATTCAGAAGATCTAGGTCCTCATTCTGGCTTTGCTATTAATTGTGGTGTGCCTGTGTCTCACTTTTATCAGTATAATAAAGATCATGTACTTGGCTTTGTGTTTCATAGGACACTGAGGAATGAGGAAGAAAAACAGGTGTTAGGGTACTTTTTGAAAAGCATGAAGTTCTAGCAGGTAGTAGGTATAATATTTACCTGAAGAACATTATGGTGCCTTATTCATAATCATTAACTGAGAAAGAGACAGAGAGATACTTACCTTTCTTCAGGGCAGTTTCCTCAATTCTTTCCAAGTAATATATATTGAGCAGAGGTAGGATGCTTTGAAGTATTGGGCCTGGGAGGGCTACAAAAATCAAAACAGAAGTTTACTTTCCCTCCCCTCCCCCACCCACCCAAGAGGGTTCCAAGCATTATTTATTTTACTGGAAAGGAAAATGGAAGGGTAGACTTCTCATTTGATAAATGGAACCTCTAGAAGCTAATCTAGGTCTCTTCCAAACTCTGGTCGACTTATCTTCAGCCACTCAGTTGGAAGCTGGAATTTCAGAAGCAAGAGTGAAATAATCCCACAAAACAAGCTGACATGCTAAATGAGCTTGATATGCTTATTTAAGAGCTGGTCAGTTCACTTCTGCCTAAGCAAATGAAGCATTCGGCATTGAAAAGGACCTACTGAATAAGTGTGATAAAAGATCTTTCATAATCTGCCTTGCTAATATCAGCTCCCTGCTTTGCCTCCTATATTTCAGCCGCACTTAACTGCTTTTTCATTTACCTAACATATTATGCTGCTTTCTGCCCCTGTACCTTTGTCACGCTGTTCTCTCCAACAGGAATGTCGTTGCCACTTTCAGTATATCAACTACTCATCTTTCAAGTATCACATGTCCTTTATTAAGTCCAGAATTCCTTTCCCAGATTAACCACTACCATTCTTTGGGCTACTGCTATACCCTGAACTAGTACTTTCCTATGAAGAATAGAAACAATTCGTGTCTCTAAAGTCAATATATCTTTTTTTTTTTTTTGAGACAGAGTCTTGCTTTGTCGCCAGGCGCCAGGCTGGAGTGCAGTGGCGCAATCTCACCTCACTGCAATCTCCGCCTTCTGGGTTCAAGAAATTCTCCTGCCTCAGCCTCCCAAGTAGCTGGGACTACAGGTGCAGGCCACCACGCCCAGCTAATTTTTTGTTTTTAGTAGAGAAGGGATTTCGCCATGTTGGCCAGGATGGTCTCAATCTCTTGACCTCGTGATCCACCCCCCTCAGCCTCCCAAAGTGCTGGGATTACAGGTGTGAGCCACCGCGCCCCACCGAAAGTCAATGTATCTTAAAAACAAAACCTGCTCTTGCCAACTTCTTTAGTTCTAAGAGCCATTATAGTATAATGTCTAAAGGGTTTGGCCACTAGAGTAGGACATCTGGGTGAAAAATCCTGACTACTTAGTTAAATGGGAATCCTTGGACAACATTATTTAAGCCTCTTTAAGCCTCAGTTTCTTCAACTGAAAAAAATGGAGGCCAGGCACAGTGGCTCACACCTGTAATCCCAGCACTTTGGGAGGCTAAGATAAGAGGATCGCTTAAGCCTAGGAGTTTGAGCTACAGTAAGCTATGATCGTACCACTGCACTCGAGCCCAGGCGACAGAGTGAGAACCCCATCTCAAAACAAAACAAAAATCAGCAGGGTGTGATGGTGTCCTCCTGTGGTCATAGCTACTTGTGAGGCAAAAGTGGGAGGATTGCTGGAGTCCAGGAGGTGAAGGCTACAGTGAGCTGTACCTGGACCACAGCACTCCAGCCTGGGTGACAGAGCAAGACAGTGTCTCAAAAAATAAATAGGCAGGGCGCAATGGCTCACACCTGTAATCTCAGTACTTTGGGAGGCCAAGGTGGGCAGATCACTTGAGGTCAGGAGTTTGAGACCAGTTTGGCCAACAGGGTGAAACTCTGTCTCGACTAAAAATACAAAAATTAGCTGGGTGTAATGGCGCACGCCTGGGATACCAGCTACTTGGGAGGCTGAGGCATGAGAATCACTTGAACCCAGGAGGTGGAGGTTGCAATGAGCCGAGATTGCACTACTGCACTCCAGCCTGGGCAACAGAGCAAGACTCTGTCTCAAAAAAATAAAATGAAATGGAGAGAAGAGTAATTAACTCATGACATTGTTGTGAAGATCATGCTTGTAATCTTGTAATCTGTTTTAAACAATGCCCGGCCATAATAAGCTCACTAAATGTTGGTTTTTATTATTTTTATCCTGTCAATGCCATCTCTGTCCAATCAAGAACAGATTAAACTCACACCTGGAATCCCTGTAATCTTTGGGAGGTCAAGGCGGGGGAGATTGCTTAAGCCCAGCAGTTTGAGACCAGCCTGGGTAATACGGCAAGACCTGTTTCTACCAAAACTACAAAAAAAAATTAGCCAGGTGTTGCAGTGCCTGCCTGTGGTCCCAGCTGCTCAGGAGGCTGAGGTGGGAGAATTGCTTGAGTCCAAAAGGTGGAGGCAGCAGTGAGCTGATATCATGCCACTACACTCCAGCCTGGATGACAGAGTGAGACCCCATCTCAAAGAAAAAGAACAAGTCTGAGATCTTGGAGTACACCAAAACTTTTGCTCCAGGATCTCTTTTTATCTTTATTTTAGAATAAATGAATCTTGGCCGGGCACAGTGGCTCACGCCTATAATCCCAGCACTTTGGGAGGCCGAGGCAGGTGGATCACGAGGTCAAGAGATTGAGACCATCCTGGTCAACAAGGTGAAACACTGTCTCTACTAAAAATACAAAAATTAGCTGGGCATGGTGGCACGTGCCTGTAGTCCCAGCTACTTGGGAGGCTGAGGCAGGAGAATTGCTTGAACCAGGAGGCGGAGGTTGCGGTGAGCCGAGATCGCGCCATTGCACTCCAGCCTGGGTAACAAGAGCAAAACTCCGTCTCAAAAAAAAAAAACACACAAAACAGGCCGGGCGCAGTGGCCACGCCTATAATCCCAGCACTTTGGAAGGCCGAGGCGGGTGAATCATGAGGTCAAGAGATCGAGACCATCCTGGTCAACAAGGTGAAACCCCGTCTCTGCTAGAAATACTAAAAATACAAAAATTAGCTGGGCATGGTGGTATGCACCTGTAGTCCCAGCTACTCGGGAGGATGAGGCAGGAGAATTGCATGAACCCAGGAGGCGGAGGTTGTGGTGAGCCGAGATCGTGCCATTGCACTCCAGTGTGGGTAACAATCGAAACTCCATCTCAAAAAACAAACAAAAATGAATCTTGATATCTGAGAATCTAGTATAATTCTTTGTACACAGTAGGTCCTCAATGTACCTGCTAAGTGAAAGCTTTTACATGCGAATGTAGTCTAAATCACCTTTCATCTGGACTACCACAACAGCCTAACTGCTTTCCTTCACCTCAGTCTCTATCCAATCCCTCTTCACCCTGCTCTTGGTGATGACATTACCCTCTTCAAAACCCTTGGAGGTCTCTCTACTGCATTCATGATAAAGTCCACACTCCACATCCTGGTATTCAAGGTATAATATACCTTATTCTACTTTTGTTTCCTCATTGTACCCTTTCCTCCTGTCTCTATACACCCCACTGCCCCAACTCCTTAACAAAGCGATGCTAGTCCACTACCTCCAGGAAGCCCTTCCTGGCTGTTAGCCCACACTGAGACCTTCATCCAAAATAGCAATGCTTAGCAGGCCTCTTCCTCGGCTATTCTCCTAAAAGGCCTTACTTGATTCAGCTTTTTCTGTGTGACTCTTTACCTGGTCTAGGCCCATAGGAGCTCTTCCCCTGTCTCCTTTCGACCTGGCTGGGGACTCAGCCAGTAATGGGGAGGTGGTATGTACAGCAGTGGTGGGGGACGGAGAAGAGCAAAGGGAGATTCAGTAAATCGTCAATTGTTTTTGCGGGAAGAGGAAACACAGGAAGAAGTTCCTCCAGAGCCTTACCCCTTTTCCCTCCAACCTGCTCCCCTCTAGTTATCCATCCCTTCTTGCAGTTACAGGAATTCTCATCCCGTTACCCACAAACCTCTCTCTTCCTTTCTCCATTCTTCTTAAGCTGGGCTTGTCTTTGCTTATTTCCAGCCTGCACCTTTAATGCTGCTTGTTCCCAACCTAGGGCCTCCACGCCCAGTCACTTTCCTTTTTAGCGAGTCTTAGCATCCCAGAAGCTCCAGGCGGACAAGCCAGACCCTCTCGGCCTTCTTCCCCATGCCCTAGGACTTTTCTGAGCTCCCCGCTCAGCTCTAAGGAAACTCCTCCCGCTCCACAAGGGACGGCCTGACCCTTGTTTTCTCGGCCGCTGGCTGGCCGGGGGCCTCCACTGTCCCCTCTGCACACTGGCCGGACTTCTAACAGCCTCTCCCACCACCACTACGCAGGACACTCGGGCCTTCGGGTACTGGGCTCTATCTCCACAGCCAAGGGCCTCCCCGACCACCCTCCCGCTTATCCCGGAGTTGCAGCACGCCAAACTCCAGGGCCTTTTCCCCACGCCCCCTTTTCATGGCATAACTCAAACCCCACGCCCTGCAACCTCGAATCCTCAAAGCCCTCAGTCCTGTCCCGATCTGGGCCTTCCTCTTGCACAGACGCCAAGGCCACCCCAAGGCCTCCTCGTGGAACCTCCCCCGCGCCATCTCCACGCCCGGGGCCTGCTCTCTTGCCACCCTCCCCCGCAGGCCTCGGCCGGGCCTGCCACCTCCTCTCCCAACTCCAGCCCGGACCCCACCCTCACACCACCAGCCTGTCAGGCCCGAGGCCTCCCCTGTCCCGGCGCGGCCAGGCCTGCTTGGCAGAGCCTCTTTCCCCTCTTTCACTCGCCTCACGGTGCGGACCCAAGTTTTCCTCGTCAGCTGCCAGGCCGCGGCCGGTGGTCCCCAACCCACAGCCCCGCCTCCCAGCCCAACGGGCCGGTTCGCCCTCCCCGGCCGTTCATCCCGGCGCCCCAGGCCGCCCTCTACCCAGGCCCGGCCCTTCGGTCCCGGCCGCCCTCAGGCCTGGGGCCTCCGTTCACTCCCATTCAGCCCAAGGCCTCTTAGCTGCGGCGCGCCCCCCTCCACAGCACCCGGCAGTCCGGAACCCCGGGCCGTCGCCGCGCTTGAGGCCTCCTTGGCCCTTCCCGCCTGCCAGTCATTCGAGCCTCCCTCGCTTGCTGAGCCGCTCCGGGCCCCCACTCCACTCGCTCTGCCGCCCCTCCTCGGCGCTCGAGCCGATGCGAGTGGCCTCCAGCGCTCCCTGTCCTCCGGGTCGCTGGGTTGCTCAGTCAGTTTGGCCACCGAGACCCGGGTCGTCGGTTCGCTCCAGTCAGCCCTGGGCCATCAGACAGGCCGCGGCGCCCCGAGCCTCGGCCTCTCCCCCCACTGCCCTGTTCCCTCGCTCTCCAATCCGCTGTCCTCCCCTCCGCCCATCGGCTTGGCCTCCGAAGTCTCAAGCCCCGTGGCGCGTAAGGCAGACACTGGAGGCCCCGGGCCATCAGTCAGGTTCGGTGGCCCCGGGCCTGGCCTCCCGGCCTTAGGCAGGGCCGCACAACTTCGGCCCCTGCCCCAGGGCAGCCGGGCCATTGCTGCCGGCCGGTTCGACATCCGAGACTCGCCAGCCCGGTCCAGCCGAATGTCAGTTCTCTGCCCACAGCTCCAGCCCGCCAGTCCAGCCTCAGTCCCCCGGGCCCTGCCTGCTTCGCCCCAGACCGGGCCTGGCCTCGCCCCCCGCGCCCCCAAGCCAGGCCGCGGTGCGGGTTAGTCTGCCCATTAGGTCTCCGTCTTTACTCTCTCCAGCTCTGTCAGTCGCAAAATTCATCCTCGGATCCCACGATCTGGCTTCCAGTGCCCCAGGCTGGGCCTTGCCCCGGGCCTCCCGGCCTCGCCCCCCGCGCCCCCCGGCCGCTGGGCCGCCCTTGCTCTTAGCCAGAGGTAGCCCCTCACCCCGCGACTTACCCCACACCCCGCTCTCCAGAACCCCCATATGGGCGCTCACCGCCCGCCCGCACAGCTCGAACAGGGCGGGGGGAGCGTTGGGGCCCGAGGCCGAGCTCTTCGCTGGCGCCGCCTCCCGGGACGTGGCCTCCATGGTCGTTGCCGCCGCTACCTCACAGAACCAGCAACTCCGGGCGCGCCAGGCCTCGGGCGCCGCCATCTTGGGGAGGTGCGCGAGCCCGAGAGTGTCGCCCGCGGACCGCCATCTTGAAAAGGTTAACAGTTAGGACGGCTCCATAAGCAATATGGGGAAGACTGTAAATTATGCTAAAGGAATTTTGAATAAGCAAGCACACCTTCTAAGTCTCTTAGGAGCTACTATTTTACATAAACTTCTAGATCTAGGTACTTGGGTCTCTTCTGACTAAGGAAGGTGTTTCTTTGCAAAGCCTCCTCAGATGCAAACATCAGCAACCCCTGAACCCTGCTGCTGGCTAGTAGTACATGCCAATCTGAGCATGTGTTCGCGACCACGATGAGTATGCCGCACTTCCGGCCAGGTCGACGGATATCCGCTGAGTGACCCTTACAAGTCCTTCTTGATCCTGAAGTGGATTAGGTGCCGGTCTTGTTGCTCGTGTTGAATCCAGAACCGTAGCCAGACATGGGACTGGAGGACGAGCGAAAGATGCTGACCGACTCCGGAGATCCTAAGGAGGTAAGGCAAGGTGATCCACTAGACCCTTTTCTCTGCCCTGAGGCCCAGGACCTAGCCGGCCAAAACACGCAAGGGCCCTTTTATCCCCCAGTTTACCCTCTAGGGTTTGCAGGGTCGGGAGCTCCGGCTCCCTCGAACTTTCCCCAGAATTCGTCTGGTGACTTTGGACAGATAGATGACTAGTTTTTCTCTGGGCCTCGGCTTCTCCATCTGTGAATGTAGTGAAGGTTTGAGAACGAAAATGTTGTGGACTAAACTTTTGTAAAAATATGACGTGTGTTTGCAGTCAGTCAGATGTTCTGAAGCCCGCGTTTGACAGGTTTGGGGAGCATACAGACCACCTTGCCTTAGCTCCGGTCAGGAATCCCTACCACATCTATGGAGGTTCGGGAGACCTGGCCGTGTGATTTCTTTCTTTTTCTTTGAGGAAGGTGTATGTCTTTGAGGACACCGAAGGAATGTACGGTGTGATTCTGTGATGGTAGAGGGAGCTCTTTCCCAGAGAAAGAGTGCTGCTATAATATTTATTTATTTATTTATTTATTTATTTTGAGATGGAGTCTCACTCTGTCATCCAGGCTGGACTGCAGTGGCGCGATCTCAGCTCACTGCAACCTCCACCTCCCGGGTTCAAGCGGTTCTCCTGCCTCAGCCTCCTGAGTAGCTGGGATTTACAGGCGTGCGTCACCACGCCCTGCTAATTTTTGTATGTTTAGTAGAGACGGAGTTTCACCGTGTTGTTCAGGCTGGTCTTGAACTCCTGACCTTGTGATCCCCAGACCTCGGCCTCCCAGAGTGCTGGGATTACTGGCGTGAGCCACCACGCCTGGCTAATAAGTATTTACTGACTGCTTTGCTATCCAAGTGCTTTAAATGCAATAATTCATTTCTTTTCTTTTTTGTGTGTGTGACAGATCCTCGCTCTGTCGCCCAGGCTGGAGTGCTGTGGTGCGATCTCAGCTCACTGCAACCTCCGCCTCCTGGGTTCAAGCGATTCTCCTGCCTCAGCCTCCCAAATATCTGGGATTACAGGTGCCTGCCACCATGCCCAGCTAATTTTTGTATTTTTAGTAGAGATGTGGTTTCACTATGTTGGCCAGGTTGGTTTCAAACTCCTGACCTCGTGATCTGCCCACCTCGTCCTCCCAAAGTGCTGGGATTACAGGCGTGAGCCACGGTGCCCGGCTCTAATTCATTTCATCTACACACTATTCCTATGAAGTAAGTACTGTTAGTGCCATTTTTACAGATGAGAAAGCAAGCATAGAAGTTAAATATCTTGTCTAATGGCACACAGCTAACAAACTGGTGTAGCTAGGAATTGCCCCAAGCAGTGCAATTCTAAAACCAGTACTCCTACCCATTGTG